AGAGAAAAACAATGTTGCTTTAATTTTAAAACTCCCCTGACCTCCATAAATAGAAACTTCATATATCCATCCCTGTGGGTCTAGCAAAATGCTTGGCACAATTACTCAATAAATGTTTTTTTGAATTATATTGATTTGGTCTAAACAGGAATTGAACCTGAACTTCTCTTCTCACCACATACATACACATAGACACACACACACACACACACACACACACACACACACACCATCTAAACAATCGAGGAAATGTTAGGTTTAGGTTCATGCATCTGTTAGCATTAGGTTCAACTGTCAGTAATAGAGACATCCAAAATAATAGTGACTAAAATGAGGTAGAAGTTTGATTTTTTTCTCACATAAAGTAAGCCTAGGGGCACCTGGGTGGCTCAGTCGGTTAAGCTCTGACTCTTGATTTTGGTTCAGGTCATGATCTCAGGGTTGTGAGATGGTCAGGGAATCTGTGCTCAGTGGGGAGTCTCTCCTTCCTTCTCTCTCTTTCAAATAAATAAATAATCTTTAAAAAGAGAGAGAGAGAGAGAGAGAGAGAGAGAGAGACTAGATATAGTAATCCAGGGCTGCTACAGTGACTCTGGAGTCCTTCAGGACCTCAACTCCTTCTAATTCTTTGCTTCACCAGCTCTGTAAAGTGGCCCTTCTCTTCATGGGCTAACATGGTGATTCGAGTGCCAGCTATTACATTTATTTTTTAATAGTTGAAACCAACAGTAGAAACAAATCAATAGTAAAAAGGCCAGAAAGCACAAACTATCATGTTCTTCTTCTTTCTTATACCTTTGTTCTTTCTCAGGGTCCTCCCCTTCTCCAAATTGCATGGTATTATCTGGTGTGTCATCTTTATTTTCCTTTCCCTGTAAATTCACTGTGCTCTTTTTTAAACATTAATTTGGTACCTTTTTCTCTTGTGCCACTTTCCCAGCTCTGGTCTGTATGTAGATCTCAAGCAGTCCTTGTCCACTCTCTGGTTGATGGGCTCTTGTATTTAGTTAGATCTTAGTAACAATGATCTAGTGTATGTCTTGACCCAAAGTAAGTTTTTTGTTGTTGTACTGTTAGCTAAACTTCTAAAGAGATTTTCAAAGAAATTGAATGAATTTTGTAAAAAATTTGAAACTTATTTTAAATTTTATTCAGTTCAGAGAAATAATTGATTTGCAAGTTTTGAAAAGCAAGAATCTTTAAAAAGAAACAAGAAATACACTTTGCCAATAGGGATAAAACATTTAGCAATCATTTTAAAATCAGAATCCTTTCAGATGTTTTTGCTTAGTACTTTTATTCTTAATGCTGTCACTTTGAATGAAAGGAAACAGACATGGAATATGTTCCACTGATCTTCCATTTCACAACTAGATGTCAGTGTTAACATACCTGATTAAGTGTCTCAGGTGTGATCATAATGAGCTCATTCAAGTAATTACTCACCTATCCAACACACAATCAGAAAATAAGTAATAAAGGAAAAAAAATAGGCTGCTTTCCTTATTTCAAAATGGGTTGGTTAATTTTTTATTTACATTTTTAAAAATTGAATTTTTCCCCACCTTAATAACTATGCATACTTAAACTTTCTGATTTATTTGGTTAGGAAAGGCAGGTAGAGTATAAACTTGCACCCTTTCATCACTACTACCAACCAGAGGTTCTTCCCTACAACTTTTCCAGAAAGAGTGATCCGAAAAAGAAGCAAATTATTGCTACTCAAATATAGTGTGCGTGTGTTCGATTCTTGCCTACTTCAGTGAGAGACATACACGAGATCAGGAATTATGCATGTATTGTCAGTGACATTTCTTACATCTCCCTAGAAGGTCTCTCTTGGTATAACTAAACCTGCCTTTTTAAATTCAGTCCTCACGTGAAGAGGAGCATGATACCCTTTGTCCTTTCCTTATAGATCCAATCTGACAATCTTTTAACATCATCTATATGCATTTCTTTAACTAGAATGTCTTACCTCTTATACCCATGCTTCCTGTTGATAAATATGCCATCAGAGTAATAACTGAAATATCATGAATAATATCCAGGTAGAACAGTAGATCACAGTGCTGAAAACACACTCCTACCCTCCACACGACTAAAATATCCGGATGGGTTCCCTTTTCCCAATTCTCTCTTCCCTGCAAGAATTACGTCTGCTGCGTGATTTAAGTAATAGAGCTCACTTATGTAAAGTTCTACTGAGTTATATTCACTTTGATATTTTTAGTTAAACATTTAAAAAATACGTGTACGTGGTTTGACAAAGATTATTGGAGACTATAGATCTGAAGTACACAGTAGAAAATGGCAAGACAACTTCTCTTTGGATCTCAATTTTCAGGTTTCAATAGAATTGACAGTTTTGCTATTTATTTATTCATTTAATTTAAATTTTAGTCAGTTAACATATAGAGCAATATTGGTTTCTGGAATAGAATTCGGTGATTTGTCACATACAACCAAGTTTGCTTTTTATTTATTTATTTTTTATTTTTTTTTATATTTTATTTATTTATTTGACAGAGATCACAAGTAGGCAGAGAGGCAGGCAGAGAGAGAGGAAGGGAAGCAGGCTCCCAGCTGAGCAGAGAGCCCGACATGGGGCTCGATCCCAGGACCCCGGGATCATGACCTGAGCCGAAGGCAGAGGCCTTAACCCACTGAGCCACCCAGGCGCCCCCAAGTTTGCTTTTTAAAATGGTTATTTATAAATATAACTTTTTCCTTAGAAGCATATCCAAATACCAGAACAATTCTGCTTTAAAAAGGCAAGTTGAATCATCGTGAGTAATATCTTAGTACATTCATTTCTCATTGTGGAAATAACTTTTTAGGGCATTCCTTGGATCCTGATTTTATAATAATCTAAAATAATGCATAAACAACAGGGTTTTTACTTACTGACTTTTTAAAATCTGTTGTTTTCCAAGAAAAAATTTTTGGTTCATCAGCTCTTGGATAGCCACATGAAACATTCATTTGGCAGTTGCTTTTTGTAAGATTTTATGTCTTTTAGGCACACAATACAAGAACATAAAATTAATTATTGATTGTGGTATAGATTCGGCATATCACTGTGTACTGTCAGTCAGCCTGAAAAAAGAGAAAAGTTGTATTAACCAACTCCAGGCAATCCCAGATTGCAGAGTATATCGTGGAAATGCAAGCAGGCTTCATCATGTTAATAACAAGATAATCATATTTAACAGAACAATAAAATAATTCAGTGAAGTTTATGTAATTCTGAATTCTCTTACAATGCTTAGAAGTAACTTAATTCTTGATCTGAAATATAACAGGTTTGTGATTTTACAAAATAATCCTTATACACTGATTTTTAATTTGTTTAAAAGCCTTCTTGATTTATGTTTCAGGATTTCTGTGATGCCTTTGACAAAGATATTATTTATAACTTTATACTAAGGCAAATAACTAGTTATTGATTTCTAAACTCAGTTGGAGGCGGCTACCCTATGGTATTACCAACTGGACCTCAGAGTTTCCAGTGACCTACATACAAGGCAGCAGAGTACTAGGAGAAAACTAACTGGTCCTAGCTGAGTGTCTTGAGGCTAGTAGACATTCAGTAAATACTTAGAGATATTTATGCCCTTGTTTTGTCTTGGACATCATCTCTTTTAGGCCTCAGTACATGGTTGTGATTATTTTCTGAGTGTCTGTGAACCTTCCTATTTACCCATTTTTTGAGAACTGAGTTTGATTTTTGGTGCCTGCTACCAGAGCCCTAGCTCCTCACATCCAAAGTCTTTGGTCATTTTTTGATATCTGGTCTACCTATGCTAACTCTTAACAGCAAATGGTTATTAAAGAAATAGCTATTTTGAGGTACTGTGCAATTTTGTAATTTTTTTCTGGTGGTTTTCCTAAGAAGTCTCAAATACTTTTATTTTTAAAACTTCATATCTTCTCCTGATTTGGGACAGGGAAATACAGCATTTCATTTGTATGTGTTTGGGTAAGAAGTGCAAGGGGGGTGGTAATTGCAGAATGTAATACAGCTATACATGTTACATAGTTCATGTTTTGACTGCCGTAAAACTCTTCGACATCACTTTGAAAATTATTTTTTTTAAGAGAGAAAGAGTGGGGGAGCGGGGGAGAGAGAGAGGAGGAAAGAGAATCTTAAGCAGACTCCATGCCCAGTGCAGAGCTAAACATGAGGCTTGATCTCTTAACCCAGATCATGAACTGAGAAGAAATCAATAGTTGGAGGCTTAACCCACGGAGCCACCCAAGCACCCCGAAATTATTTTTTTTAACAGCGAGAGGGAAGGGCAGTGAAGGCATCTCTTGAAATTGTTTCCATTACTCTTTTCACATTCTGTCCTGATCTGTTAGATTTTAAATTTTTAGTCTATGTATTTTTTATTTTGGACACCAATTAATTGCTCATTGTTGTTAAAACTTACCTAAATCTTAAACAGTTGAATTTTATGGTATGTGAATCCCATAAAACTGTTGTTATCCCAATAAAACTGTTGTTTAAAAAACTTCCAAAACTTACATAAAAGCATTTTTAGTGATATTGGGAAGCAGCTTTATATTAATGTTAAAAGGTGAGGTGCAAACAGTAGGTAATTTATTTATATAGAGTTCCAACTGATAACGGTTTTTAAAAATATACTTCCCTTTTCTATTTTTGGTTTGTTATAACTTAGGAAAACTTTCTATTTAACTCATTAAGTGTATATCTTAATGGAGTGAGGAAGGCAAATGTAAGAGGTAATGACTAAAATATTTAGATCTTATTTATAACTTTAGAAATCTATTTGGAGAGATGAACCAGAAGTTGCAAATATTCCACTTCATACCTAACTCCCCGGCCTGGTTGTCCATTAGAAATCTGAGATCTAGTTAGACCATTGAGGAAGTGAGGACGTGTACTCCAAAATTCTGGATTTTGACTTCTCTGTAAAATGACCAAGTTCGTATTAAGGATGTTACATCTTAAGATATTCCATTTATCATTGCAGAAAGCTGTATACCTGCACAAGTGGTGGCTGCCATTGATGTAAACACTGTTGCTAACGAAGTATACAAGTACAATTTTCCTCACACACAGTTACTGGCCAAGACAATCGAAGTAAGTACTGTTGCTTATTGTTTTAATAAATATATGGCAAGGAAAATGTGATTGAAAAACACTGTAAGATACTGGTTTCTGGTGTCTTCATTGGAGGGTAAGTCATATATATAAATGAAAAAGTTTAGGAGAAGGGAATCAACATTTTATATTCTGTGAGAAGATGGCATGCTTTTTTTTTGCCCTTATTTATTTTTAATTTTCAGTTTGAGAGAGTGAGAATGAGAGAGGTTAGTATTTTGGTCCCTGAGAAAAAGGATTGAAATGTAAGAATACGCCTGACTTCTAAATGCATGGTTCCTTAATGATATTAAACTTTGTTGAATTCTTTACTTTCAAGCAATAGTCATGCAATATATATACATAACAGGAATAAAAACAAGAGAGGCAGACAGTCACTGGCTATTACTTATTGAATGCTACTTATTTTAAAATCTTTTTTTTTTTTTTAAAGATTATTTATTTATTTATTTATTTGACAGACAGAGATCACAAGTAGGCAGAGAGGCAGGCAGAGGGAGAGGAGGAAGCAGGCTCCCCGCTGAGCAGAGAGCCTGATTCGGGGCTCAATCCCAGGACCCTGGGTTCATGACCTGAGCCGAAGGCAGAGGTTTAACCCACTGAGCCACCCAGGTGCCCCTGAATGCTACTTATTTTAGCAAGCCCGTCAAAATTAATGGTTCAAAGTACATTGATCAACTCTGCAAAAGTATTTAACACTGATGTACATTATTTTAAAAATAATTTGAAGTTGTGTTTTTCTCCCATTTTCTTGTGAAAAATTTTATAACAGACTTCTCATGAAGCTATAATTTATATACAGTAAACTGCACTCATTTGTGTGTAGTTGAGTTTTGACTAATATATTCAAGGGTGTAACCACCACAATCAAGACTTAGAACATTCATTCCCTATAGTGTTTCTCAGTGTCCCAACCCCAGGCAATGACTGCTTTCTGTCATTACAGATTAAATTTTCCATTTCCAGTATATCACAAATAATATCACGAGTGTAATTTTTCTGGGTGTAACTTTTTTATTTAGCATGTTTTTTTAAAATTCACACATGTTGTTTTGCACATCAGTAAGTAGTCTGTTTTTTTTGTTATTATTGCTGAGTAATATTCTATACAGTGGAATATTATGTACTATAGTGTATATATCCATTCATATGATGTTTGACAGTTTTTGGCTATATAAAAATGTTGCTGTGAACATTCATGTACAGGTTTTTGTATGGACCTTTGTTTTCATTTCTTGGAGATGAATACCTAGAATTGGAATTGCTGGGTCCTATAGTAGGTTTCTTTAATTTTATGAGAAAATGCTATTTACCAGCATGTTTGTACCATTTCACATTCCCATAATCAATGTTTAAGTGTTTCAGTTGTTTCACATCCTTACAAGCACTTGATATTGTTAATTTTTAAAATGTTAGCCATTCTAGGGCACCTGGGTGGCTCAGTGGGTTAAGCCTCTGCCTTCAGCTCAGGTCATGATCTCAGGGTCCTGGAATCAAGCCCCACATCAGGCTCTCTGCTCAGCAGGGAGCCTGCTTCCCCACCCCCCGCCTGCCTCTCTGACTACTTGTGATCTCTCTCTGTCAAATAAATAAATAAAATATTAAAAAAAATGTTAGCCATTCTAGTGAGCCTATTGTGCTATTGGGATTCTTTTGTGTATGATAATTTTAATTTGCATTTCCCCGATGGCTAATAACGTTGTATATCTTTTCTTGTGCTTATTGGCTATTTCTGTGTTTTCTTCTGTAATGAAATCTGTGGCCCAATTTTTATTATTTCGTATGTTTGTAATATCATCATTTCATTGTAAGAGTTAAGTGTTCTGGATTCAGGTTGTCTGTCAGAAATCTGTATAACAGATTTTCTCCAGTTTAGTAATTTGTCTTTTCATTTCCTTCACTTTTCATTTCCTCAAAATGCAGAGGTTATTTATCTTTCTTTGTTTTTTGATCACATTTCTGAGTATTCTAAAATTTTTTTGTTTACCCCATCTTTCCCTCATTTCTTCCAGAAATTTTATAGTTTCAGCTTTTCCATTTAGGTTTATGACCCATTTAAAATTATTTTTTGTGTGTATTTTGAAGTAAGTCATTTTTTTTCCAAGTGCATATAACATTATCCTGGCACCATTTTCTTTCTTTCTTTCTTTCTTTCTTTCTTTCTTTCTTTTTCTTTTACCATTTTCTGAAATGACTATCCTTTCATCAATTTTCTTGACACCTTTATAAAAAAAAATTAGGTCATAAATGTGTGTCTGTTTCTGGACCCTCTCTTCAGTAGTATGTATATGTTTTTCCTTATACCAGTAGCACATTATTTTAATTATTATAGCTTTACAATATCAGTAGCACATTATTTTAATTATTATAGCTTTATAATATGTATTGAATTCAGGTAGCATAAGTTCTCAAATTGCTGTTGTTTTTTCTTTCAAGATTATTTTGGCTGCCTTGTCATTTACACTTCAATGTAAATTTCAGAATAACCTTGCCAATTTCTTAAAAAATGTATCTATTTTTATTGGAATTGCACTGATTGGTTTTAGAAGAATTGGTATCTTAATAAAGTGGAGTCTTCCAGGCCATGAACATAGTATTTCTCTTTAATTATTTAGGTATTCTTTAATTTATAAGAGCACTATTTTGTAATATTTGTTATACAAATCTTGCACTATGTTAATTAATTTATCCCTAAATATTTGTGGGTTTTGATACTATTGTAAATGGTATTTTTTAAATACCACTATTTTACAACTATTTCCTATTGCTAACATATAGGAATACACTTATTTTTGTTTATCAACCTTGACTTTGTATCTTGTGGCTTTGTTATATTGACTTGTTCTGATAGCTTTGCTTTTTTGGGGATTTTTTTCTACATACACAATCATATTGTCTGAGAATAAGAGTTTTACTTTTCCCTTCCAATCAGTGTGACTTTTTTTCTTGTCTTATTGCATTGTCTAGGACCTTCTGTACAGTGTTGATTAAATAGGATTATATTGGATATCCTTGCCTTCTTTCGGAACCTAGAGGCAGAGCATTCGGTCATTTACCATTTGGGATGTTGTTAGTTGTAGATTTTTTATAGATGTATTTTACCAAGTTGAAGAAGTGTCCTTTTATTACATTTTCTGAGAATTTTTATAATGAATGGGTTTTGAATTTTGTCAGATGCTGTCTGTATCACATCTTTTGACATGATTATGTCATTTGCCCCTTTGTTCTCTTAATATGGTGATTGTATTAATTTCTTTTTTTGAATGTTAAGTCAGTATCACATTTCTGGGATAAATCCTACTTGGTCATTATCTGTCACCTATTTTAGGTAATGCTGGTTTCAGTTTGCTAATATTTTGTTAAGTATTTTACATTTAGCTTCATAGGTGATTTGTTATTGCTACTCAGTGTTTCAGTATGGTTTCAGTATTAGGGTTATTTTAGACTTGTATTTTTTGGAAGAGTTTGAAAAACAAGTATTAGTTCCTTTATGAATGTTTGATAGAATTTAGTTAATGAAGTCATCTGGCCTGAAGTTTTCTTTATGAGAAGGTTTTAACTATGAATTTAATTATTTAATTGCTATAAGGCTAGTGAGGCTTCCTATTTATATTTTTATTTAGTTTTAGAAATTTGTGATCTTTGAAGAAATTATCCATTTTATCTGATTTGTCACGTGTACTCACTGGATTTTTTCATATTTCCTTATACCCTTTTTCTATATGTGAACTCTTTGGTGGCATACTATAGGTCATTCCTGATGTTAGTAATTTATAAAATGCCAGTGAAGCTGGAAGCTTACCAATTTTATTGGCCTTTTCAAGTAAATAACTTTGGATGCAATTGATACTATCGTCCTTTTGTTTACTATTTCACTAATTTCTGCTCATCTTTATTATTTCTTTCTACTTACTTTTCATTTAATTTATTTTTTAAATACTTCTTACAGTGGGACTTTAGATGACTGACTTGCTTGTTTTCCTTTTTTATATAAATATTTAATGCTATAAATTTTCCTAAATTTTGGATACATTCCACAAATTTTCATATGTTTTATTGATTTTCTATAGTTCAAAATATTTTCCAATTTCCCTTCTGATTTCTTCTTTAGCCCATGTGTTATTTATAAGTATGGATTTAAATTTCCAAATAGTCATAATATTTTCAGGTATCTTTCTGTTATTTCTGTTATTGATTTCTTATTTCTGTTTTATTTTGGTCATACTTTGTATAATTTCAGTTATTTTAAATTGTTGAGACTTGTGTTATGGCCCAGAATTCAATTTATCTAGTGAATGTTCTATATGGTATTGAAAAGAATATATTCTTTTTTTTTTTTTTTTTTTGTGGGATAGAATGCTCTGTAAATGTCAAGTCAAGTTGGTTGATAATGTTCAATTTTTCTGTATCCTTACTGATTTTTTCTATCAGTTGCCGAGAGAAGGGTGCTGTAATTTCTCACCACAGCTGTGAATGTGCCTTTTCCTTCAGAACTGTCAGTTTTTGCTTCATTTTATCTTGAAGCTCTTATTGTTTACACTTTATAATTTTTTTAATTGAATGACCCCTTTATCATTATGAAATGTCCCCTTTTTTTCCAGATTTTATTTAAATTCTAATTAGTTAATATACATTGCAATATTGGTGTCAGGAGTAGAATTCAGTGGTTTATCCCAACACCCATTGCTCATCATAACAAGTGCCCTCCTTAATACCCATCACCCATCTAGCCCATTTCCTGCTCACCTCCCTTCATCAATCCTTGGTTTGTTCTCTGTCATTAAGAGCCTTTTATGGTTTGTTGTCCTCTCTCTCTTTTTCCTCCCTCCCATATGTTCATCTGTTTTCTTAAATTCTACATATGAGGGAAATCATATGTTATTTATCTTTCTTTGATTGACTTATTTCACTTAGTATAATACACTCTAGCTCCATCCACATCGTTGCAAATTACATTCTTCTTGGCTGAGTAATATTCC